CCGGCGGGGGCCTCGCTGAGTTGAATCACTTCACTCATTTTACACGTGAAAACCTGCAGCCATAGATTCAGTTATTCAGACCAGCAGATTTCTGTTTTATGACCTTTTTATGATCAAATATAAAAGAACTTAAGGACAGATTTTAGACTGAACATGGATGAAGATTTCACTTGACAAGTGGCACAAATTTATGATATGTGTTATTCTTTTTAATTAAACCTGTAATAACTGATGTCTTTGTTGATTTGGGGGTTGATATGTTTAACTTCTTTCAACATCCAGCAGTTACAGAGAAACATAATGATTCAAGTGGAGTGGTTTGAAACTCTTATGCTCACTCTGAATGACAGGCACACAGAGAGGGCTGGTAAAAACGTTACGTATTTTCTGACCGATGCAGTAGCTAACCGGTATTCGTCCCAGTATGCCCGATGGTCAGTCCAACACTCTCTTAAAGTGAACCAGATAAACAATGAGCTGAAACTCACTAAAAGGCTCTGGAAAGTCGAAAGGGAGCTGCCAAGCATCAACCTCTGGGACTGAAAAACACTGAAGTGCTAAAAACTCCTCTCACAAATAGACATGGATGTGAAAAAAAATGCAGGTTTAAAACATTTATGAAAAATCAGCTTTGCAAAAGTTTATGAGAAATGGCATTCAACACGTAGACCTGTAGGATACACAAATTGAGAGGGTACTTTCAAACTTGAGACAGTTGTTGAGCCATGCTTCTTTCACTACAGACATGTTGCTATAATCAGAGATGCCTCACTGAAAACATGATTCAGGCTTCACTTAACTGCCTGAAATGAGGTCATTTGTTATTTTTGACATTTTTAGAACATTTCTGAATAAGCGATTAATCATTTCACTAAGACATAATTAACATTTATCCTGATAGTGAATGTAATGTAATGTAAGACAATACCCTTTTAACATGTACAACATATTTTATTTTTGACGTGGATGAATCGTCTGTGCTCAGTGAATTCAGGGCCTTCATCAAACATTTCTCCTGTTTTACCTACATCCAAGAGCCAACATAAATATAACACAACTCAGAGCCTCGGTGGAGATCAGAAGTAGAGGCAAAAAAACCAAGGACAGCCATTGATAACCAGACAATGCACCAGGACAGAAAACATCAATCGTGACCTTTCACTCACCATTTATCCAGTCAGCCTCCCAGACGTGTCCTCTGCCATCTTCCTCTCTCTGTCCAGGAGCAGCTCCCGTCCTCTCCTTGAGCGCCCGTCCTCCAGCCAGCTCCCGAACACCTCCCGCGCTCCTCCCACGACTCCCCCGTTCTGCCCCCCATTCTTCAACTCTGCCACGTTCTGCTGCCTCAGTCTGTTAAACCAGGTACAGGTTCACAAAAAGTTACTTAAACTTGAATCACCACTGGTGGTCACTGATAACCCTCCATATGAACACAACAGCGTTACTATAGTGTTTATGTTGTGTACTGAAACATTGTTGTGGTCTAAAATACTGAATGTGAATATAAACCACAAAGCAACATGTAATGGTACCTTTAATTCTCTTTCTTTCTTTTTTTGTGTTGTTTTTAAGTTGTTTTTTATTTTAATGTTCTTACAACTCTTACAGGATTTTGTTTAATTCATAAAATGATTAAAGAGTAAGATTTTGTTTTTTTTATTTAAAGATTAATGTTGACATTCATTTTTTCTTAATTTTGTCTTCACAGAAACATCAAACAAATCTTTGCCTTGTTCAGCATCATTGAGTCTTATAAAAATATTTAAGCGAAGATACATTGGATATGGAAATTGAAATTCTGAATACATTTGAATTATCATAGATGTTACCAAAATCTTCTGTGTAAAAAAATTTGGCATTGATTTAATTCTAGTAGATAAAGGGACGGGGGCCAACAATCAACAGAAATCAATTTCAAGGATTTCTGTTTTTCACATTTGAAGGGAGCTGTCAATCACTTTCATTCGACAGAGGTGATCACAATCAGATTTAACACAAGTGGAACATTTGTTGTTTTTTTTTTGTTTTTAAATTACAATGAGGAGAAATAATATTCAGAGTAATTACGATGATGGAGGACATTTTCTTCATGTAATGTGAAAATAAATCAACTTTAACAATCATGTCGGAGCCCACAGATGACAAGCTTCAGTGTCAACAGTGTGTCACTGAAATTACAACAGGGACAAACTTAATGTCAGAACTTTTTTTTTTTTTTTTTGCAAAAAGTAATCAAATTTTATTATGTAAAATAAAAAGACTTTGAACCCTGCTGAAAGGCTTTAGCAGCATTTATTTACTGAGCTTATTATAAATAAGCAGCAGAAATTAGTCTGTACTAGACCTTTACATTGTTGTGTCCTTATTTCTCTTGTTGTCTGTACTTAGCACATTGTAGAGTTTATAAAACCAAAAGGAGCCAGAAGGATTTCAATGTGCCGTCAGTGCAGGTTCAAACTGCTTTTCCAAGACTGAGCCTAAACCCATAGCTGACTCATGGGAAGAATAAAACTCTTGGCCAAATTATTGTGGAGATATTGGTTTACAACCTAACGGCTCTGTTATTTGACCAAAGATGTCCCAGGCTCCTGGAATGCAGGGCAGACTAAATAAAGTCTCGAGGATTTTTTTAGGTTAATGTCCTGAAAACAATGTTAATGTGGAAACTGGAAAACAACAGCACAACCCTGCTGAGGGGAAGCAGAGATTTATTTTGGATGCACCAGTCACCATAAAAGGTGTCAATGGGTAGAAAATGATGCTGAGACTGCTGTGGTTGCACTTTAAAGAACAGGGAGAGGAACCCTTTCACCTAAACTGATGATCTCCTAATTTTGTGATTTGGGTTATATGAATAAAGCTAACGTGACTCTTTTTGTGAGGAAGCCAGATGTGCTCAATTGTCACTAAACACCATTGTATCATTTTCATTTCCATCATCTCATTTATTTTAGACATGAAAGAAAGATGGTGATGAAGAGAAACAGGTGAATTATAGAAGGATTTTTAAGTTTTAAGCAGACGCAGTTGTACAGTCTCTGCTGGGTTCACCACAGCATCTGATTTGTTGTGTTCCTCGGTCAGTTGTGGCAAATAATATATATATGTAATATATATAATACCAATACACCAATGTAAAAGTACTTCATTACAAATGCTGTCTTTATAATTTTACTTAGATGGAAGCAAACCTGAAAAGCAAAAGCGAAAATTCTTAAACTGTGTCCAATACAAAAGTACTACACCAGTGGTTTCCAACCTTTTCCAACTCAAGGCCCACGTGAAAACCTTGGCAAATGGAATATGTTGGTGGCCCACATCTGATACCATACCAACATGGAGGGTGACAAGACAAAAGTTCCTATCATTGGCCCATCACAGTGAAAGGTCTTAATACGAGGAAAAAAACAAATGAAGTTTTTAATTACATCTTTTCACCAAAATTGTAACGTTTTGCAAGTGATTTTTCAGATCACTTGCAATACCTTTGCGAGGCACCAGGGGGCCCAGTCCGCAGGTTGGGAACCACTGTGCTATACTACACAAGCTGTGGACAGAGCGTATAGCAACCACTAGGTGGCAATTTATAAAAATAAATTCCAGCCTGGGTGTAGTTACTTTTAAATGCATTAAAAATACTTCTGAAAAACAAAACAAAACATGCATTAAAAAAAAAAATCCTGTAAGTACAGTACCTGCCAGCGAACCGGTCATGGAGATCGTCATGCTGTTGACTGCTGAGGCTGTTGGTGCGCTGCTCCATTAGCCAGCCCAACTCTACCTCGAGCACCTTACTGTTGTTGTTGTTGTTGTTGTTTGTTACAGCTCCTTCCTGACAGCGCTGGATTATGCTGGAGGGAGCGTTATCGGGTGAGCACACAGGCTGGCCCTGCCCTCCATTTACTCCATTATTGTGAAAAAGTTCTGTCAGCTCCATGCTGCCGCTCTGCAGCCGGCTGTCGTTGAACCAGCGGGCAAAGTCGGCACGAACCAGTCCTGTCCGACCCTCCAGCTGGCTAAACTCCTCAGGGGAAGGCCACCGTGTTTGAGCAAAATCGTCCTTGAGGAGTGCCAGGGATCGGCTGTCTGGAGGCACTGAGCAGGAATTCGGGTTGGGGACGGAGGGGGCAATGGTGCCTGGAGCAATGATGGGCAGAGTGTGTGTGGATGGAGGAGGGCTCTTAAGATGGCCCACGCCGGTGCTTGGTTTGTGAATCCCATTCAGCTGTAGAGTTTGGTGTTGCTGTTGCTGCTGATGTAGTCGTTTCTCAGTGAGGGCTGCGATGCCACCCACGCCAACCCTCTTAGTGCCCATGGAGTTGAGAAGCGCTTGTTCCAGGTTGTCGCGTAGTGCACGGCGCTCCACGAACCAGCTGTCGATTTCTTGGTGAGACAGGCGGGTGGTGGCCGACAGATTGTCCACATCGCTGTGTGTGGGGAAGCTGTTCCTCAAGAAGTTCTCCTCTAAGATCTTTAACTGTTCCGCCGTCTTTCCCTTCATCCTCTCCAGCAAGGGGAACTGTGTCAGCACTGAGGACTTCTGCTGAAAATCTGGTTTCTGTGCTGCCGGCGGCTCACCGACATCCAGATGCATAACTCCATTGTTGTGAGCAGGGGAGGTCTGATTGTGGGGCCATTTGCCGTCTGCGCGAGACGTCCCATTGGCCTCTGCCATAGGAGTGAGTACCTTGTCTCCTCTGGGATAGCTGGCTTTCAGCTCCAATCCCTGCTGCTCTTTTAGTTTCTTGCCATCCAAAGGGAAACCTGGAATCTGGGGTGAGGCTTTAGCCGGAGCACGAATGGACTGAATAATGGTCGGCCTCCTTATCTGTGGGGTAATGAGTGGAGGGGAGTTTGGCAGCTTCAGATCAGCAGCTGGCAAAGTGTGGGTACTGGGGTGCTTTTCTTTGGAAGTGGTGGGCGGAGCACGAGGAATAAGCAACGAGTTTTTAAATGGAGGGGCAAAGATAGGTGGGGGAGCAATCATTGGCCTTGTTAAGGACTCTGGAAAGACTATGGAGGGCAGCGACACCACCGGCTTCGTTTTGGGACTCCCTAATGTTGAGAGAATCTTCCCTTTGGACAATAAAGACGGTGATGATGACGATGATGGTGGTGGCATTAAAGGCACAGCAGTGGATGACCTCTTCATCTCTGTGGTTACCAGAGGAACTGCTACAGGTCTCTTCATCTCCATGGGAACAGGAGGTGGAGCCATTGGGAGGCGGTCTTTCTGGGGAGGAGGGGGCGGCGGAGGAGCCATGAGGCCCTTGTCTTTAGGGTCACCAGAATGTGGGGCAACTGCCATGACGGGTCGTTTGGACTCCGGGCCGAACACTGTCGTCAGGTGTGCTGGGAGGGGTCGTTTGAGGGTGTGGCCAGAGCCAATGGCGACTCCAGCAGGAGAGTTTGTGGTAGGGACTGTACTTAACCCATTGGACGTGGTTGTCCGGACATAACCTGGATGCTCGACTGTGGTGTGGACAACGGGCTGCTGGGAAGCTTTGGCAGACGGCTGAGAGATGGGACTTGTAGGCAGGACGGTGAACATGTGATGGGCAGGAGGGATGGAGCCATTGAACATCTTCTTCCTGGCTTCCTCCACCTCCTCTGGGGACCAGGTGATGCCTTGCTTTAACCGCTGAGTGGTGAACCAGACTTTGATCTGTTCCTCTGGGTGCTTGGAGGCAGCCGTGAGCCACGACAGCTCAGCATGTGTTGGGTATGGAAACTTGTTGAAGGAGGTGATCAACGTCAGGTTGTCATCTAAAGAAGGATTATATTTGGTGGTGTTCAAGGGAACAGCTATTTTTGGTACAGAGTTAAAGTTGGGCGGGCGCTGGAGCATTGGGGTGACATGGGAGAGCCCTTGAAGGATGGTGGGTTCAGGGATGATGACTGTTCCGTTGATGTTTACTGCTGTGATCTGATCCTTCTGCATCAGGCCATCCAGCTGGCTTTTCAGTGGATTCCCCTGATAGAGCGACTGGACGTTGTCTGGGGTTTTCACTGTGGTGGATATGCAAGGTGGAAACACAGAACTGCTGCTGCTTTCACCCTGTTCACTTGTCACTTCACATTCAACTGAATTGTCCTTGCCTTCGATTGTCTGCTCTAAGATAGTCTGACCGTTCATTTTTATCCTCTTGAACTTGAAGTTTGTCTCGCCTGGGTGCTGGCTCTCGTTGTGCTCTGTGAGCGAGTCAAACTTCTTGGTGTTGAAGTTGCAGACGGCGCAGAGGTACAACGGATTGAGAATGACGTTTGGGTGGCTCGAGTCCACGTGCTCTTTGAAGTCATTCAGGTTCTGCGTTGAAAATGGGCAGTATTTGCACTCGTAACCTCTGGGCTGCTTTTTCTGGGACCCTAGGTCAGATTCTGCCCCTCCCTTGTCCTTCTCTTCTCTAGCTTCTACATCTTCAATGACAGAGGGTGGGTCTTCTTTACCTGACTGCTCCTCTTGTTCTAATGGCTCAGGATTTTGGTTTTCCACTGGTTTTGGAAATGTCTGCTGGTCTGGATTCTCTGGCTTCTCCTGCTGGGTGACTTGACTCTTTTCTGCAGATTCAGATGATTCTTTTTCTGTCATATTGTTGTCCGCCAGTACTTCCATGTCCATCACCTCCTCCGGGTCATCTTGCTCCTCAGGCAGGTCATTGATGACCCGAACCATGCAGGGGGTGGAGGACTTTCTACGACTGGACATGACAGCTGCTGCTGGTGGTGGTGATAATGGTGGTGCTGGTGTTGCTGATTGCGCTGAAGATACTGTGGTTTTTGGCTGCTGCTGCTGCTGCTGGTGCTCGCCAAGGACGTCAGCGTGTCGGTTTTCGAGGGGGTCTTACTGGGGTGGATCGGAGCTGATGGTTGTGGATACTGGTAGGTGAGAGGAGGTGGAGTCTCCAGCGTGAGAGAGGGAGGGCAAGAACCGGCGGATGGTGCCGGCCCAGGACTGGTTGTGCAGTGGCGTCTCCCGCTCACTGGCAGTGTCAGCTGCTGACCTGGGCGTCATGGGAGGGCATCACAGACAGCAGCGGTGCTCAAGCTGCGTAGAGACAAACAGAAAGAGAAAATTACATGTTAATACTGTTTGTGTTCAGTGAGCTGCGCTGCAGCCACTTGGGGAAAGACTAAAAGCAGAGAAAAACACATGTTACAAAAACATAGAGAGAAGTCATGTTGATATTGTTTGTGTGTGATGTGCATTCACCCTGAATAAGACAAAGAACAGGAAAATGCATGATGGGCAATGACAGAAGGGGAGAAAATAGATAATTTGCACTTTAGTAAACAGGCAAACTAAGCTTTTGGTTGAAACATCCTATTTATTTGAGAGATGTGAGATCAGCACGGCACCGGAGATAAAACACAGCAACATCAACAGAGGTTTTTTATTCTTACTGGGGTCACTTGTGCTGGAAATATATGCACTGTGTTGTACTATTTTGCACTTTGGATCAAAGGTTTCTTCAAAGACAGTGAGTTGGATAGGGAGCAATGAATCTAAAGCCTCTGAAATCTTAAGTATTTCTCTACACCATTAAATTCATTATATTCATTAAGATAAAATTGTAACAAGACTGTGAGTTTGACTCCTTGACTGCAAAGTGGATGAGAAGTATCTTTAGAAATGAAGATTAAAACCTGTCTGATGCCAAATTTTAGAGGCTGATACCAACATCAGCTTTTTACAGTTTAAAAAACGTCCGATAAGGAAAAAGGTGACAGAAAAATATAATAATTTTTGAAATATATATATATGTATATATATATATATATATATAATATAACAAACTTCATGTAGGTGTCTTTCGTGATCTCCGTGTTGTTGAGGATGAATTTCATTGTGTTTTGCCCCATGTGCAGCTGTGTGAGGTGTTTTCTATTTGAAAAGAATCAGTTAAAGAATCCTATGTCCTTCTCTGGTTTGGAGCAGACAGATCATTTACAAAACTATATTAAACTTGAATTACTGCAATTTGTTTTTGCATCTTTCGATAATACGTAGCTAATAATATTTTCTCTGATGATCAATATCAACTAAAAACATTGATGTGTGAACAAATAGTTTGTATTATCTGAAATTTAATTATTGATTCTCATTCGAAGGCTACAAAGAAGGATTTTTTAAAAATCAAAACAATGTAACATAAACACTCATTTGCCAATTTAACCTACACTCATTGCTATAAATAAAACGCAATGCAATACAATTCGGCAGCACCACAAACTGCAGTCTTGCCTGCAGGCATGACCTTAAAGTTGAATCAACAGCTCTCTGAAACTGCACATTATCAGCTCCATGATCAGAGGCGCAGTGTATGAACAGGCAAGGCAGCAAACTGCTTGTGGCCCCAGGCTGTTAGAGGGGCCACCGATGGCTGACAAACTTTACTCCACAGCAAGGTCTCAAAATACGGCTCCTCCCCCTTAAACAACCAATGGACGATTTGCAATGACATCTCAGTCAGAAACTTGCCTAAAGGGACCCTATTTATAATAAACATAATGAGGATTGTGATTGGTCGTTAGGTACGCCCATTCAAAGCTCATTCAAGGCTTTGTCTGGCAGATGATTGGTCGACTGAACGCTTTAATGAAAAAAGTAGCTACAGAGTTTTCAAAAGTCACTCAGTTGCCAACGCCGCTTTGTAGGAAACCTCCTTTAAAGGACTTTATATGTTGATGCGCACTGGCCTTATGATGTGGGTTATTTACAATGTTAAAATGTTGAAGTTATTTAATTATTGATTTAGGTTTCTATTGTTCTTTATATTTATATTTTGAAAATTCTACAAACAAATGTTTAGATTTCACACAGTTTTCGTTGGTGTCAGATTATTTATATATAATTATTTAATGGTGATGAATGCTGATTGGAGGTACCCCCTGCCAATTTTCTAAATTTGGACTCTAGAATCGCCACTGACCATGAAGGACGTTTATTGCAGGGCTGCTGGATTAGACTGCAATAGTTGTAGCTATTGTAGATGTACCTAAAGTGGTGAGTGAGTGTATAACCCGTTTGTAGGAGGAACAGTTGGACAAACACATGTAACACAGATGTTGATAAAGTTATTGTCCATAATAACACGACCGGACCCTGTGGAGCTGTTCTGGTCATTACACAGCTCCACATCAAACACACAACGTCTCACTTCTGATAAGCCTCATGACATTTTGCTCTCTCTCTAGCTCTCTCTCTCTTTCTCTCTCTCTCTCTCTAAAGTCCAAGCCAGGTTTCTATGTCAGCACTCGTCCTCAACATCACAGGAGCTTCATTGGGGTCCGGTCTAATCAGACGCCGGCAGTTGACAGCATTTGCTGACAAAGCCGAGGCCAAGAAGTTAAAAATGACGCGAGTCTTGATTGACAACTCGGAGCGAGACGCCGCGCCTGAAAATTACAATAAATCCGAGAGCCACTTAATCAGGACACGCTGTTCCAGGCCAATCACATGTAAATGCAATAAACTGAAGAGTCCACAGTAACTACAAAAGACAAAAAAAGTCTCCAAACTCCAAACCCCATTAAAAAGACATTAAGCGTCTTTCATAGATTCGGGCAAAGACAACTTCACAGGATAATTACCCTGTAATCATGTAATAAGACAGACTCAGTGATGAGATCTCCTGACAGCTATCATCCACACAATGGAACTGAGAGAGTGAGGTAAAAGCAGATGGAGGGAGAAAGAAGACAGAGAGAGGGATAGACAGGTATGAATAAATATGGGAAGAGAGGGAGTAAAGGGCAAAAATAAAAGGAGGACAAACGGAGAGAGCAGGTAAAAGAGGGGAGAGAGAGGAGGAAGAGTGATATAAAAAGAGAATGAGAGACAGTGGCGAAGAAGCTCAGAGATAAAGGGAAAGAGAAAGAGAAAGAGAGTCTAAAAACTTCCAAGCTGATGAAAGAGAACAGGCACAAAGCAGAAGACGTTTTAACTAGGCCATGGCCTGGCAGACAGAGGGAGAGAGAAGGCTGTGAAAGAAAGAGGAAGACGAGGGAGAAAAGAAAGCAGATAAACATAAAGAGGGAGGAGGAGAAAGGGACAACAGAGCATTTAAAGAGGCTGAAAAAAAGGAGGCAGAGAGAGAGACGATAAACAGAAAGCAGAGGAAAAGACGACAAGAGGCAGAATTGAAAGCAGATGAAGAGGATGAGCGAGGACGAAGAAAATGTTTCATTTCGACAGAAACATTTGAACGGAAAGCTGAAGTGTCACAAAAAGAATAAAATAAACTGAGGGAGGTTTTGGTGTGTTTTCTATCAGAGAAGTTGAAGCTTGGAAAAGGTTGTGCCCAAATCCTTTTTTTTTTTTTGGACCCAAATTTGCCAGAAAAACGGAGTATTTCAACACTTAATTAGTATCGGGCAAGCTGTTATTTGTCCCAAGTGTCACTTAATGTTGGACATATTTCATGCTCTCACAGCCTTGATGGGCTTCTCACTGCCTGCACAGGAGACACGCAAAATTTAGTAGTTTCAGAGTCCAGTTTGAAGTGTTGAGTTGTGCAATGAGACTGAACTAATCCTGTGTTATTATAAATCTCATGCATTTACACTGCTGTTTACTGCATACTTGAGCTAATGAGATTTCCTCATAAAGCAGGTGTAGACTAGAGCTGGAAGATTAGTTGATTAATCAGTTCACAGAAAACTATTCAACATTAACCTCTGTGCTCTTTGAGAACAGGCTGAAATGTGTTCACTGGAGACATCTTCATGAGTTTTAGACCCAAACCTCATTCGAAAAGAGATTCAAGAACAGACACCCGATATAAACAGAACAGGGGATCTTTTTTTAGGCATTTCTGCTTTGGTAGATAGAAACAGTAGAGAGAGGGCAGGATGACATGTAGCAAAGGACCCAGGCTGGATTCAAACCGGGGCCACTGTGATAAGGGTTAGTGCTGTCACCTCACAGCAAGACGGTTCTGGGTTCAAACTTGCCGGTCGGATGGGGCATTTCTGTGTGGAGTTTAACCACTTCCCCCACAATCCAAACGCCTGAAGGTTAACAGGTTACCTACAGGCAACTCTATATTGCCTGTAGGTACGAATATGTAGGTGTGAATGGTTGTTTGTCTCGGTGATAGACTGGCGACCTGTCTAGGATGTACCCCACCCTTGCTCTGTGTCAGCTGGGATTTTCTCCAGATTGGATGGATGGATGGATGGATAGATGGGTGGATGGGTGGGTGGATGGATGGATGGCACTGTGGTACATGCTCTACCAGGTGAGCTACCAGCGCACCAAGTAACAAGCAGCCGTGGTCAAAAAAAGCAGCTGGACGTGTCGTTTTTCCTGCACAGTTCCCACAAACTAGTAGCAATACAACAGGACCCTACGCAATCTGATTCAACTGAGTATTATTTTGGACTTGGTTCAACTCGAGTCCTGGGTCAGGTCTCCGTTACTAGGAAACGAGAGGACCCGTGAAGCCCTCCTCTCTGAGCAGTAGCACAGACTATAGAAAATCTTCAATTTTCAAAAGTTGGCACCGAGCGCTTGGTCAGAGTTCTCCAACCAGAAATAACCTTTGACTTCATTGTAATTCAGCAGAGTTCTTTATTTAAAGTGTTATTCCAGAAACTTAGTGTTCTATATCTATGTAATTAGTTGACTCACGAGGGACAGATTAAAAACCAAATGTCAGAATGTGCAGCGGCTATTTGAACTTTGACTGACCTCAAGTGGTTTCA